AATTAATATGAGTGACTGATTTTCCATATGATAGCTAACACAGGGTGTTATTTTAAATACCTGACAGTTGAAAAGTGCAATCTCTGATGTAAGCTAGCATATTCCTGAACCAGTGAGACTTGCTGACTGTGACTGTATTGTCTGTGGGGAACAGAATTATGATCCTAATATAGTTCTACTTGTCTATTTTTTCTTTTATTATCTATACATTTCTGCATATATGAAAACCACAGCTTAGATTTTTTTCCAGGATATTTTGAAGATGTGGATGCTGTCTTCTTTGCTCCCCAGGGCTATCATCTTCCCTCTTTCTTTCTCATGTATCAATGGTAGTTGTTTTTTTTTAACTCTTTTTCTTTAGCTCACAGTTCACAGACTATCACTTTGTTCACTTGTTTTGATTTTATAAGTTTTTTTTGCTGTTTGGCTTTACTTACTCCACCTGAAAAAACTTCAACTCTGCTTGCAAATACCCAGGAATCTCAGTCCAGGCATAAGAGAGACCCAGCACCTGGTAGCCCTCACTATACAGTAAAACCCGCTAGTTCACTGGTTTTGGAGTCTCTGGCCTACACACCTGTGAGAAAAGAAACCTCTGATTTTTATCCATCATCCAACCTCACATACTTTGTTATAGTAGCACAGATATATCAGTTTCAGAGAGATTTCAGTTTACCAGGGCAGGAAGCTATGGTGGATTTCATGGTGACAGGTATTTGTGTCAGAGAGCAGACCATGGGATTGGAACCAGGGCTCTAACCTCTGAGGCCTGCTCCTAGTAACTTATCCACCAGCCAGACCCTCCAAAGCCTTCAAAATAGTTCCATACATTCTGGACTGAGTGAAAGCCATTTCAGATTCAAACCATAACAAAGACCCCATATCTAAATAATTTGATATTGGGGTGAGGGCCTAAACATGCAAGTTTGGGTAGGATGCTAAGATTCAGCAGTGTGGTGATTTGAATGAGAACTGACCCCATATTGCAGTTTTTTGAACACTTGATTCCCAGTTGTTGGGACTGTTTGGAGAGTTCAGGGGCACAGTCTTGATGGAAGAGTTGTGTCACTAGGGGTGGGCCTGCAGATTAAAAGCCCTGGTCACTTTCAGTCCCCCCCCCTTCTGCTTTGTGCTGAAGATATGAGCTCTCAGCTTCTTGTACCAACCATGAGGCCTGCCCATTGCTGCCATGCTTGATGCCACGATGGACTCTTATCCCTCTGGAACCATAAGCCAAAGTAAATGCCTTCATCCATAAATTGTCTTGGTCATGATATTTTGCCACAGGCACAGAAAGGCAATGAGTACAAGTGGGAGTAGCAGGTTAGATAGCATGTTAGGTCTGTTGATCAATAGGAAAATTGTCTGCTGTCCTAACTGTGGAATGGCAGTATATTTCAGTAAGGAAACAACTCTTCTTGCTGTGCTTGGACATACCTGTTGTCAAACATTAACTCAAAACAATGTCCATTTAAAAAGTAAATCAAAATTACAGACTTAGTCTCAGCATGAGCTTTTTTTGTTTTAATTTCATTTTGCACTTCAACTACAGTTCTCTCTCCTACAACCCCAAATTGCCTCCTTCCACCACCCCCCAGCCCACCCCTAGTCCACTCCTCCTAACAGGTAAGGGCTCCCATGAGGAGTCAACATAGTCTGGCACATTAGGTTGGGGCAGGGTCAGGCCCCTCCCCCATGCATTAAGACTGAGCATGGCATCCCACCAAAGGGAGTGGGCTCCAACAAGCTGGCGCATGTACCAGGTTCAGCATGAGCTTTTGTAATCTTTATCTTATCATGTTGTGACATTCAGGACAGTGACTTGTCAAATCTACCCTTTTGATTTGAAGGTGGTGTTACACGTCTTAGGCTACCCTTGGTCCTTCCCTTTCACCTGTCCAGTGATGGGATTGTAGGCACCAGCTCTCTAAAGTGATCTCAACAATATTGTGATATATGTCAAGTTTTTAATGTATAGTCTCTAATTTGAAAATTTACAGTATATGTATGAACATTTTCTATAGATAAACTTAACAGTAATTTAAAATTAATTACTGCAAATTTCAAATGACCTTCAGTTTTAGTTGCTATAAAAATATTCACATGTTATCAATAAAGCCTTTTGAATTTATGAAATTATATATTGTATCTCACATATGCTAGTGAGACACAACTATATTCTCTAGGTTTAATTATGGAAAAAGTATAGACAAGTATAAGGCTTGGCTTTATTGTTTTATAAATGAACCAGTAAGGTTCATGTCAGTGAAATGAGCATACACTTTTCATAAATTAAAATGAATCTCACATGGTAAAGTACCCATATTCAAAATTAATTTAATTACATGTTTAAAGTTTAATTACATTTAATTAAGCATTTAAGTTTAATATGAAATAAATGAATTATCAGTTAACTACTATGAAATGAAATACCGTCTTGATAATTAAAATCTATAAATTTTCCTCTTCTTTGTAAAACTGCTAGCTTTCAAAAAACATTCCAGCAATTATACATTTTAAAGACCATTTGACTACATCCTCACAGTTCATCAAAGTGTAGTTTTTTCATCCCTCAGCTTGATGAGTTGCACATTCCTGGCAACATGGAGATTTTACAAACATGATTTTGACTGTTACCTTAGTGCAGTGGTTGCTGTGACCCTTTAATACAGTCATCATGTTGTGGTGACCCCCAACCATAAAATGTTTTCATTGCTTCTTCATAACTGTAATTTCGCTACTGCTATGAATCATAATGTAAATATCTCATATGTGACCCCTGTGAAAGGGTCATTTGACCCTAAAGGGGTAGCAACTGAGACCCACTGCCTTTAGTGACTTATAATTTGAAACACCAGTAAAGTTGCCTAGCACCTCTGACCTCTAGTTCCCATAAACTATGGTGGTATTAGTCAGCTCAAAAGGCTGTTGGTGGAATTAAATGAATAGGCAGTGAATGGTTAAATACCTGAACAGTCCTCCTCCTGATAGAGGCATTTGACTAAATTTAACTTCTTCCCTTTAAATGAATGAATGAATGAATGAATGAATGAATGAAATCCTCCTATTTTCTGGCATAAAAATGTTTGCTCTTTAAAACAAATATGTATATTTTAAATTATAAATGTAATGGTTTTGTTTATACTATCGCTTATACACGCTTTATTTTATTTATTTTATTTTATTTTATTTTATTTTTGCGGTGCTAGGGATTGAAATGATGCTAGGCAAGCACTTTACAACTGGGCTGTAGACCCAGCTCATTCACATTTCAATTTATATGGCTGAGCATTCTATGAATAAAACAGTATAGAATTATTACCATCACAGACTTCTAACTTTGAATGCCAGTATTATCACTTTTTGCTCACGTGTGTGTGTGTGTGTGTGTGTTTAGTTCAATGGGCAATCAAAGTTGGAACTAGTATTAATTGACATAATGATTCAAACTTAACAATAAGAAAAGTAATGTGTGAAAATATGTGGTATTTCTGTTTCTTGGCCCCCAACTTTTACATGGGGGTACTGACTTCACTGAATTCAAGGGAAGACCTCAAGAGCACAGCAGAATGAAGCCAGTACCAGAACCATGTTTTCATTCCTTCATTAGTACTCTTTTGTCTGCAACAAAACAATGAAAATGACAGATACCAAAGTCTTCAAAAGGAATGAATGAAGCACAAGGAAAGGGATACAATATGTTATTCCTGGCTCCATCATTCAACTGAGACCCTGCTAGATCTGTGTATGTCAATATCTTCTGGACTGTGTATGTCAATATCTTCTGGAAAACAAGAAATATTTGCTTACATAAGGACAACAGGGGGTAATAAATGCAAAGTGTATAGTAGCATGCCCAACACACAGTAGTCATTTTTTATCATAGCCTTAAAATACCCACATGGAATTTTAAGTCTCTGACTATAGATTACAGAACCTGTTAACCAATGAAAAAACTGAATTCAAAAGACTTAAGTTGAGTAGCGTTGACTAAGTTTGCTGGTATTATTTTTAGAACAGAACAAGACATTTAAATAATTTAATTTCACAACTCTGTCTATAAACTCTCTAATAATTTACTTTAAAATGGTTTGCTATGCTAAAGAAAATGCAAGCTAAAATCTGTTCAGCAGTGTACTGTGGTAAGAACTGAAAGTAAGTTTTCTTAATATTTATACATTTTTTAATATCAAGTCTGTAACTTTCAGATTCTCCTTTAATAAATTTTTATCACTATCAATAGGTTAGATTGCTTAGAAAAACTTCTAGCTCTAAACCATCTTGCCACCTAAAATTACAGTGTTTTATTTCAGCATCACTAAAAGCATAATGTCTTAATATAAATGAATATTTAAAAAATAAAGTAAGAAATGTAATTTGGTTGTCAAGAGTGTTTACCTTGCATGTACAAAGCCCTAGGTTCAAGCCCTACCTAATATTGCATAAAACCAGGTATAGTGGCATATACCATAAACCCCAGCATTCTAGAGGTAAGGCTAGGAAAATCAGAAATCTCAAGGTCATAATTGGACACATAGTTTGAATTCAGACAGGACTCAATATTAAAAAAAAAAAAAAGAAAAAGAAAAAAGTAGCATACACTTGCTTAACCTTTAAAAGATCACTTACTAAAAAGTATTAGCAAGCAGTAGTGCTTTAGACATTTTCCTGGATTAATCACACCAAAGAATTTATGCATTATGGGTTGAAGTCCTGATTACAACTGTTTCACATTTCCTTGAAAGTAAAATCAAATAGAATTGTAACTAGCTAGGTACCATATCTATCACATTATAAGCCAATAGGTAGTGTACAGAACCAGAAAAAAAAACAACATATAATAAAGTATTACAAAATACATGTGTAATTTCTTATGCATTTGTAGAAAACTAGCATTATTGGGCTATATCTTTGCATATGAAATCCTCAAAAATGAGGTAAAAATGTAATGTACTGATATTTGAAGTCCGAATTTGCTGTTATACCAGCCATTGACTTACCAGGGTTCTCCTTTAAGATCTGAAGTTATGTGTTCTGGGAGGAAGAATCCATGCCATTTTGAACTTCCTAGTAGCTCCTGAGGAATCCTTTTTGATACATCATAATAGTGACCAAATCGTGAAGATGACACTGGCCCAACCTGCCAGAAAATTGTGCTGGTTATTAAAACAACATTATTTTACACTATAATTTTTTGTCTTCTATCCAGTTAATGAGGAAAAGCTGTTACACATATAGTTACTGAATTTGAAGACCCATACAATAGCCTTTATTAGCCAAACTATATACAGTGAGGAATTAAACTTTCTGAAGTTTTTCAGTGTTAATGATTCCTAAGTTTATAAAAATTCATATACCTTTCTCATTTTAAAACTATTTCATACATCTCTTTTTTAAGTTAAAAATTCAATATACATAATTCTTAATTCATGTATAATAGCTCACATTTTAATGACAAATTGAATAAGGACATGCAAGAACTAAATGAAGTTAAGCCAAATTAATTCATTGGGTGAAAGCCCCAACAGAAATCAAATATTTAAAATGTGTTTAACTAAATATTGTATTGAAACTAAATGCTCATAGGACAATGTGTATACATGTACAATATTTCTTATAAACTTTAACAAAGAAGATGGTGTAATATGTACTGGAGTCCAGACAGGATCAAGGCATGTGTGAGAGTGAGAGAATGTATGGGAACTATGTGAGACCATCGGAAACTTGACATGATCATTAGTTCATGGTTTTACATTCATTATTAACAGTTTCTCCAAGATACCAACTTTCTCTTAGGAAACTAATAACTATTGGCACTAAATTTATTTACATATGTGAGTAAAAATTTATTAACTATTATTCTGAATGGAATCTAGGCTGATTTTAGTCAATACATCCCTTGTCCCCATACCCTTCTATATAAAGTTGAACTATTAGCAAGTTTCACCTAGCAACAGCTTCCCATAAAAGCTCTGATCTGATCTTTATTGTAACCATTCCAGAGTGCTAAGAAACTGACAAACTTGGGGATGCTCAAAACACATACAGTCTCTGCAGAAACATGAGAACTCTTAGGTTCTTATCTTACAGAATGACAATTTTTTAATTTACCTAAACATACGTTTGCTTGACACTAGCTATTTGCATTTAAGATTTCAATGATTCATATTCCTAAATTAAATGCCTATAAACACCAAATTATACAGTCACATGAAATAAAACATCCTGAAGTCTAATAGAAGCATTTTTTCCTAGATTGAGTCTGTGGGTGTTACATTTATTTTCTAAATAAAATGAATGTGCATCTCTCCATAAGGTACTATTTATTTTCATTAATGAAAGACATCTATTAGTTGGCTTCAATATAATCTTTTCAATGCAGTAATAATATGTGCAGGATTATGGTTCCTAAGATACAAATTCTCCATTTATTATGAAAAGTATTGACAAATAAATTATATGACATTAAAATAAGTTTCTTAAAAATACAGTGTAAAGGTTTTTAAATGTAAAGTTATTAGTCTAAAGCAATTTAAACAAGGTCTGTTCTTTGGCCTATAATTGATTCTTTATCCGGATTATAGTTCAGAATGTTTTTAGTGCAATCTCTGCGAGAGCTCATCTTTTTATTGTGTAAGTCCAAGCCCTCTTAATGTTTCAGAAAGGCCTTGACTAACTGAACTTTGATCTGATGTCTTCATTGAGAAAAACACCAGGTTGCCCATTTCAGATGCAAATCCCCCTAAGGCCCAATAGAATTCAGTAAAGACAGCAAAAAAGAAGAAACCAGAAGTTTCCAGGATCCTCTTTGAGAATCCTGGGGCACACTGGTGTCCCTAATCCATGCTACTGCATGGATTAAGGTAGGTGATAACCTTTCCTGATTCAAAAGAATAAGCTGAGTGCCTACAAACTGGGTGGAGACTAGGATTTGGCTATAATAAAACACCATGCAATAAAAGCTTGGTCTATGTCAGAAGCCTCTGAAAAGGCCTCAATGTACCACATTCCCAGGCCTGGTAGGGAAGCTTGCAAAAGCCTACCTGAATCAAATAAGCATGAATAATCTATTTTAGCAGACTGACCATGGGGAGAGAGAAAGATAGAGAGACTTTTCACTTCTTTTAAGTTTGAGTTAATAAATTTATTAGTGGATTGAAGGTTCTTGAAGTCCCATGCACTCACAGAAACACACCAAATTACCAAAAAGCAAGGTATGCTTTTTAAGTTGCCGTCAGTATTAATGTTTTTAATTATAATATTAGTGTGACAGAATTCCCAGATTTTGGATCAATCAAGGCAGAAAATTGATTTCATGCTGTGACAGTTTACATATAGAACACAAACAATTCATTAAAATGTAAAAATAAAACTGGAAAGTTTTCTTACTATAATTGTTATTAACTTATTTATATGTTAAGATCAAATATGACAGCAAAAATATTGATAAGGTAGAAACAGTTTTCATTAATGATGAAAGATGTCAATCTTTCAATAAAAGGAAAACAAAACAAACATATTTTCATAGGATAAAAGGTTTTGCAATTTTTCTATCCAAGACATATAATATTAGCATACAGTCAGATTTCTGAAATACTGAACTCTTTTGAGACCTAGAAATTTCTTTTGAAAATGAAAGCTTACTGTTGTTACTCTAACAGTGTTTATCTATAAAGATATCATTGTCATAAAAACCAAATTGCATTTTTATATCAACCTATCATGAGAAAGCAGTTCATTTATTTCACATGCTAAGAACATGTTGCTTTAATTTTACATATGACGAGTTTTATTATACATACATAAACTACCTTTAACTTCACCATCTGTGGAATACAAAAAATTGAAGTTTTTACTGTGCTAAAAAATGAAATCTGAAAGGAGGTGAGGAGGAAAGCTGAGCAACATAACAACAGGACACTCCAACACCATCACACTACATCTCTAGGAAGCAACAAACTGCAGAGAAAACACACAAATAGTCTACATAAGCTATGGCTCACCATTGTTAGTAAGTCTTGTTTCTGAGAGCCTGGCAAAACAGCAAGAATCTAACCATTCACTAAACCATTCAAAGCCTCAGTTCAACTACTAGACCTGGGCTAATCATGATTTTATTATGCTCTCAAAATAATCTATGCAATATGGGCAATTAACATTTTATAAATTTGAACATAATATAAATATCAGTATTAGTTATGATTTATTAGAGAATCAGAAAATTTATCATTGTCCTTTGACTTACTGAAAAAAATTGTTGCACACTGACACATTCACATATCTAACAGAATTGTTGTGGCTAAACCATTAATTATAACAAGAATCTGATATGCTGCCATGAATTGTTGCAGACTTGTTGGTACTAGAGACTTACAACTCTGGGGTGAAATCCAGATTGCACTGCAGGCCAGCAATCTGTAGGGTGAGAAGAGGGCAAGTCCACCTTTGACAAAGAATCTAAATCATTGGTGAGATAGGAAGAATTCTTAAAACTAAATATTCTTTGGCTTGAGTGAAACATTTATGCATTACTAAGTGGCTAACTTCTGTATTCACATCCTTTTCATTTTTCTTATTCCCCACGTAGACTAGGACTACACTTGCTAGATTTGGTAACAATCTGCATTAAAGAGCATCTCTGATAATCAATATACCTCCTTTTGCACTATTTCTACACTTTTACTCTTAAACCAAAATAGTGAAATTGCATTTTGTTCAAGGAAATACAGAGAGCTAAATGATTTTGTTTATTTTCACACTGGGGAATTACAAAGTGATGTCTGAACACAGAAAACAGATGAAAATATGCACTGGCTAAAGATCATTGGTATAGGTTAGTCACTGAACATAAAATTACTGTGATGGGACAAAAAAAAAAAAAAGTGAAGAAGCCAGACATGATTCCTATTTTAAAATTGGAAGCACACACTTGTAAACAGAAGCAAACTTAAATTTGAGCACTGACAGTAAGATAAAAAATAAGTGACTACTTACTGTAGTATTAATGATTACAATTTATTATCACTTCATTTACCCACTAATTCATTTTATGGAACATACACTACATATCAATAAAACAAAACATTTTCTTTCCCTTTTTGGGGGGTGGGTGGGTGGACAGGGTCTCTGTAGCTTTGGAGGCTGTCTGTAGACCTGGAACTCTGTAGACCAGGCTGCCCTGGAACTCACAGAGATCCCCCTGCCTCATCCTCTGGAGTGCTGGGATTAAATGTGTGCACCACCACCCAGCCTTACCTTATATCTTAAAATAGACTCAAGTGCTGAAATGAATATATGATTTCCAACTTTAAATAATGTCTTGAAGAAAATAAAGCAGTGAAAGAGAAAATAATATTTCATGCAGAGTGAAAAAGGAAGTCACTGTAGATAATATAGTATCTCAGCAAACCCCCAGGAAAAAATAGAACACCGAATAAATAGGAAAATATTCTAAATTATAATTTACAAAGAAACAATGGAAGCCCCAAGTAAGATGGTGGTTTTGCCTTTGTGTGATCTGTGGAAATATATGTCTGGATAAGAGGGGCTGAGAAGATGCCTAGCCATGCTACACAAGCATGAGAATCTGAGTTAAGATCCCCAATACCCATATAAAAACCCAGAAGTGGCAACATGCATCTGTAACTCTTGTCTTGGAGGGCAGAGATTTGCATATCACTGATATTCATTGGATAGCCAGCTAGTAGTTGATTTCCAAGTCTAATAAGAGACACTGTCTCAAAAATTAAAGTGGAAATAACTCAAGAGAGACCTGGTATTGGGCTGGAATACAGCTCAGTGATTATGCTTACCTAGCAAGTATGAGGCCTTAAGTTCCATTCTCAGCACTGTAAAACATAACAACAAAAGCAGCAGCAACAACAAATAAGACTTTACACAACAGCCCAGGCCTCCGCATGTACGTGCACGCGCGTGTACACACACACACACATACACACACACACACACACACACACACACACACAAAGTGAGGTAAGAAAGAATAGATTCTATCCTTAACAGAAGAAAAGTGAAAGAACATTATAAATTCATAAAAAGGAGGGTGAAGCCAAATGAGAACTGTGAAGGAAGGAAGGATGGCATAAGCACGATGAGATTAATTAATTCTCATGGAGAAGA